TCAGTAAACTATCAATTATTAACATGGCAAGATGAATATTCAATCGACCCCGATAACTCAAACCCCCCGCTAACCAGCTCGAACTGTTTTTCGTTTCTCTTTCTATTGTAATAATAATAATAATAATAATAATAATAATAATAATAATAATAATAACAATAGTAATAATAATGGTAATAATAATAACAACAACAACAACAACAACAACAACAATAATAATAATAACAACAATAAAATACCGTATTAAAGTTGTGTTTTGAACATTCGGTTGTTTCTCAAAAGAGAAATAAGCGCCCTGTCCCTAATAAGTGCCCTGTTCGTAGGGTCTTGGTAAAGAGAGTCATTTTAATATGCGTTGGTCTTCAACACGGTTGCAAGGTCTTCTGGGACTTAAAAAGTCAATTTGGCGGGAAAACACAAGAAACGCGCGAAAAAGCTACCTTGTGTCCCATCATTCATTGCGGGTAAGCGATCCATCCATTATGGCGGCCAGCAGTAAAGAAGAAAGTTTGGCGAATCTATTCGAATTACAAGACAAAGAGAGACTAGAGTGCGACCTCTATGTTTCAGGTGGAACTAGGTACAAGGGAAGAGAGAGTAATGCTCTTTTGGTGTTAAACAAATTCAGATTGGAAGGAGAAGCGGGTTTTTGCGATCTGATCTTGGAGGTGGAAGGTCGACAGTTGGCAACTCATCGCTGCGTTTTGGCAGCAAACAGTCAATTCTTTTACACCATGTTCAGTAGTGGAATGAAAGAATCGAATCAAACACTTTTGAGCCTGAAGTTGGTTTCATTTCAATCCATGTCACTTATCTTGGATTATTTCTATACGCGAGAAATTGTCATAAATGACGAAAATGTGCACGACTTACTCAATGATTCAAGCTTCTTACTTGTGACGCCCGTGAAGAACGCTTGTATAGAGGTTCTATCCAGAAGGCTGGGCAGTGATAATTGCTTTAGTATTATGCAGATAGCCGAGCAGTTTGGCGCTGGCGAGCTGGCAAAAAGGGTGAAGGATTTCATTAAAGATAACTTTTCCATTGTGGCGAACAATGAAGAATTTGTCTCCATTTCGCAGGAGAAATTAGTGCACTTCATATCCAGTGATGATATACAGGTAGAAAAGGGGGAGGAAGTCTACCAGTGTGTGTTGAAATGGGTTAAACATGAGGCAAGCCGTTTGGCTGTTTTACCTGAGCTACTGAAACACCTACAACAAGGCTCACTGCCAAAAGGATTCCTTGAATCAGAGCTGACCAAAGAACCACAACTGGTGGTGGCAGATAGTCATGTTGTTCTTCCCTCTAAGAAAGCTAAGAAAACTAAGGGGACCAAAAGATCCAAAAAGTCAAAGAGTGCACAATCAGTGGTGGAGCAGCAATTGAGACCATCCACAGAGATACATGACATCATAATTGGAATTGGCACAGTAACTTGCTGTAATGTAGTTTGCTATGACATGAGCAAGAATGAAATTCTGAATCTAGGAGACTTTTCAGAATGCAATTATGACCCACAAGTAGCTGTAATTGGATGGACAGTGTATTTAGTTGGAGGACGACAATGTAACAATGAAGGTGTAAAAAGGGTGAGTGCATTATGTTTTGATGATGCAAAGAAACTGACATCTTCAGCTGGTATAAAGATTGCACCTGAGTGGAAAGAAAAAGAACCTTGTGAAGAAGCGAGATTGCAGGCATCTCTTGTGGGTCTTCATGGGCTATTGTATTATATTGGTGGGTGGAATTTACCACGTGGGTGTACCAACACAGTGGAATGTTATGATCCTGAACTGGATGAGTGGAATTTCTGTGCAGGACTTAACAAAGCTAGATGCCATTCAGGCTGTGTCGCAACTGAAAAGCACATTTTCATCATTGGTGGAGGAACAACTTTCAGGCCACAAAGAGCTTCAGTGCTGTCAGTTGTAGCTTGAGTAAAAAGATGTCTGTCATTGCTTTTTATTTCTTTCTGTTTTTGAGTTAGCTTAAACTCTGATTTAATCCTTAAAACATTGCTTACTAATGATATAGCACTGCAGTGATGACATAGATCTACTAAGTCCAGTGATAGTGTTGTGGTTTGGTTTAATTTTTTTTTACCTGAGACACATTACGAACATTGTTAGAACTATAGCAACAGTTCTGAAGTTTTTAGATTGACTCTGAGTCAATTAAGCAGGGAAGAATTGAACATGTGTGGAGAGTCACCTGTGTGTTTATTCAGGCAAGACAGATACTCAAAGCTGAATAAGACTAAATCATTTGAAGTATGCATAAGTTTGTTTCTGTTAGTGCAGTGGATCATGTATTTGTAAAGGATAATAACAATTACTGGTTTTAGAGAAACCTCAGTACACCATTCTGCATGAGAGCAGCAAGTGTTTGAAGAGTTTATTTTCTTTTAAAATACGAGCAAATTAATGGAAAATGTGTCATACCTGCACCAGTTTTCAACCTTACTATGCTTTTATAAGAGGCTCAGTATAATGCAGGCTGTAGAGTGTTTGAACTTTCTATAATATAATTTGAATTAACAGCTTTTACTGTATTGTGCTATAAAGAACTTAGGGTGGTAATAGAGCAGAAGTGAAGGGGAAACTATGAAAACATGCAAGCCTGTGAGTTCAATTCAACTCTTTGCAAACTTTTCTCCCTCCACCTTCCACTCTAAGATCTGCCAAAAGAGCTTGCTTGCAAGCTAGATTGAACAAAGTGCATTAATATTTTGTCAAATGGCGATAATTTAAAATAGTGTTTCTGTTGTTATTGTATGACTAAGCCTCCAGTATAAGAAATAATGTTGCTTTTTCACCAAACCTTTATTGGTGAAGTAAGCTGTTTTGATTAGTGCAAAATGTAGACGGTGACATTGTCAGACAATATTTACAAAAATATCATGATATACATTTAGTTACAGTTTATTAAAACTAAATAAATATGCTGGAAATAGAATACCAAGGTTTCCTGGTAATCTCACATATATGGGACAAAGACAAAACGTGCCGTGTTTCTATTTAAACAATAGAGTGTTCTGACGAGGGGCTATCGGCTGATAGTTGACCCGCGGAAATTTGATGTTCTTGTTATTGTCCACCACTAAATTTTCTTTCGTGAGCCAGTTCAAAAATCATGTTGAATTATTTTCAACTTTTTTAAGATGAAAGGCGCGAAAGGCAAATGCAAACTTTCAAAACGAAAACAGACAAAAACCCGCTTAATACAATTTCAATTGTTTATTTTCTATAAGCGCGCTTGTTTACGGAAACATTTTCACGGACGAGTCCTATCCATCCGGGTATTTTCTCTCGGACGGGCACTATGGGCTGATTGTGAATCTCCGCGATGAACACTATCGCGTCACGCGATCAATTTAAACCAATAAGAATCGGAGAAAATGTAGTGGGGAACTTTTACGAGATTAAGTACAAATTTTCTTGCGTTCTATCACGAATGCCGTTCTATGATTGCCTACGCTACTCAGCAGTGTGTGGTTGTCAACAAAATGATGGCCGCTTCGCGTTTTCGAGGTTTCTTTGCAGAGGATTTAGATAAAGTTTTGAAAGACTAGTAGATTTATCCTAAGACAATTACCGTAGATTATTCGCTCTCGATTTCCATGAATGATAGTTGACTCGGGCTGCACCTTCATCAACTGTCACGCGATGGAAATCTCGAGCTCATAATCTAATTGTTAAACGGATACATGAATGGACGTTTGGGAGAATGAAAACTGCTGTGGAACTCCCAAACTATCACGAGTGTTTCTACAAACGTCTTGAAGGTATTGTGTTTTGATCCACAATGTATAGAAAGAACGCTCTTGTCTCTTGATGGCTTCTGCAGCCCGTCATCATGATGTCAAGAAAACGTGATCCACAATGTATAGAGCGAATGCAAAGTCAAATTCCAGCGGTCAAACCCAACAATCCAACAGCTCATCCGGTTTTCTTTGGCTTGAAGTTTGTGAGAGTTTGAAGCAAAGACGAACAGGAAAGAGATCTAGTTAAAAAGTTTGGATTGGTTTATTAATCTTGCTAACATCTAGAACAATAAAGCAAACTCAAAAAGTTTTCTTTCAAACAATCAGTTA